TCTGAGGAAAATCTACATATTGATAGTCTTTTCCTCTGTGAAGAGTTTTGTTTTTCAGTCAGTCAGTTTTCCTTTTGTACTGTCTCGCCACTGTAAAGATTCTACAGCTTAAAAAACCATCAAAATTCACTCTTTACATTTTCGAATACACTTGTATCAGTATATTCATCTCATGAACTCGTCAAAAACATTTTCGACTATAGAATCTATAAAAAGGCTTTAGTTTTATTACAAATGAAAAAATATTTTACTGATGTTCAGGGCTAATAAAACCTTTTTAGGTTTGTCGGTGACAAAATCCTACGAGGACACATTATTACTGTACCCAAAATACCGTTTGTCATAGGAATTTTACCATGAATAGATCCTGTAGAGGTTTATTAGTCCTAAAGAATTATAAAAACGCTTTAGCAATTGCAGCAAAAGAGAGTTTCTGGGGTTTTCAGTCGAAAGCTTTTGTTGAAGGATTTACAGGGCGAATAAACCTATAAAAGGATATTTGAGGATATAAAGAACGGATTTGGAGGACCTATTAGGGTTTGGTAGTTTTTGCAACCATTTATGATATGGGTACAGTACCTTCATGGCGCTAACGTGTGAATATTTGGTTTAGTTCATGGATCTAATTATCCCTTTCTTTCTTTTTATAAATGTCATACGTCGATTAGTGGTACGAAAATAATTATCAGAGACTGGGAGAAAGAACTAGAGTACATGTAACGATTTACAACAATGAACCAATATGTAATATGTGTAGCTGGTTCTAATAATTCTGAGTAGAGACAGAAAAAATAGTGTCACGTATATAGAAACGTAAAACGAATGATTGGATTCTTGATTCATTCTTTCTATAATCAATCAATACTCATGAGGTCTAAATTTCTCAAGCCTAAAAAGAATGTTTACCACCAGCGATGTTCGCTCTACATGGGTTCTGTGATCGTTTTTCAAGTTTCTACTTAAAATGAACAGGAGCGAATTAATAAGGGAGCGTCCGTAAGATACTATCGCTTGTCATTTCAGACTATTCTCATTAGATACATCTTAGGGCGATGGGTGTAGTTTATTTTTGTTTTCGCTTCCAGTCTTTTCTTGTTGAGTACTAAGCGTTGTACTAAATTCTGAGACTATAGGTGGAAGACTCGTGAGATGTGGAAACAGTGTCGTCCAATTACGGCACAAAACAGACAATGAAATGTGGAGTAGGATACACTCTTGTGAAAGGCGTAATGGGACACCACAAACAATTTAGCAGGATAAGAACGTCAAATTGTTGTCCCTTCAACCTTTGCAATGAGTATCGAATTGTCAGAAAATTGAATCATGAAATTTCGAGCTGAAATTTTCTTCATATGTAAGTTGTATGATTACTGAAAAACTTAAAATTTTAGCCAAAACGAATTCACCGTCAATGACATATCAGCTTCTTATATAAACGTCTCTATGATGAAAAACGAGTGTTTCCTTTACCCAGGACGAATTTCAACTACATGAAACACTTTCCTAATGAATGTGTTTCTATTTGATAAAGATCTCTTATCAATTAACATACACCGAGATAGTCATGTTTAATAAAATTGAGAACTCATTTTTTTCAAAGAATAAATGAAAACGCTTTTCAGAACTTCATTCAATAGGATACTTACGTGCATTCAGAGAATTTTTTTCTCAGAACTAATGCAAGGCTAACATGATGGTCGCAAAATATTGTCCAGGCAAAGCTGAGCAAGCCAGAGATTTTCCAGTCACAAGTTAAATTAAGTCACTAAAAAATTTTTCAACTCAACGCAAGTCAAGTCTGGTTAAAAATTTGACAGCATCTTTCGGGCGAACGATATATTTTATAGCGTCGGAACTCTATTTTATGATGAAAACTGCATAAAATAAAGGAAAATTCTTTACTATATGACTTAATTTGAAAAGTTGTTTCAAGTCAAATCACATTCTTAATTTTTTCGATCAAGTTAAGTCACACTTGACTTGAAACATTTTTTACTGGACTTGTCCAGTTCTGTATCCAGATCGGATTGATATACAAGCAGACACAAACGTACCAAAAAACAAGAGCAAACTGCAGAAATTATTTTAAAAATCATCTGAGACTGGATTGTTTAGTCGGTATTTTCTTTTCTTTATCCTAGGAAAATTGTTTGATTATCAACGGGGAAAGCCTCCGCTAATCAGGAGAACTTCTAAATTGTCGATGGCTTTATAGCATTAATTTGTTTAGAACACATTCTGACTCTTGCTGAGATAATATTTTTGAATCAAAACTTGAGTCAAAAAAGTGCCTTATATCTATGAATGCAATCGTCAATAAGGCGTCGCAATAAAAACTTTATCAATTTGGTGTCCCAACAACTATCACAATTTACACCAAAAACCAGCGAAGCATCTCGAAAAAGTGAATATGAGAAGAATCTCTAATATCGATCGACTACTTCAATTCAAACGCCATGGCTGAGTGGTTACGTTGTTCGGCACGCACCCACAAGGTACTGTATTGAGACCTCAGTAACATCACCCATGGAATGACCCTGGACAAGTCACTAACGCCTAAGTTGTCTCCAATGACCTATTCCACATGAGTCATTCGTGCTGACTACATCTTTAGCCAGTATGTTGGACGAAAGAGGGGGCAGATACCGCCGTCTGTAAAAAGAAAAGATGAAAGAACTCGACTGCATGTGGAAACCACTAATAATAACCACGGCCAGCCCCAACGGGCGATAAGTCTATGGGACGTTATTATTACTTCAATTCATCAAATAATTGAAACGTCGTACTAAACAATGTGGAACATCGAAATACGTTTTCGCTTGTATTTATATGAAAAAATACTTTGAATATACGGAAGTAAAAGAAAGAAACGAAATCATCCCAAACTGGAATTATTTGGTGAGTTCCGATGGTAGACCAACATCTGAAACGAAAATTATTAGACAAAATCTAAATCCAATTCCGGAATAACTTGACTTTGGTAAATTTCTAATTAGTATCGAAAGTGTTGATAGATATCGATATTGAAGTACTGAACTTAACTAACGTCATTTATACTTTTTTCGATTTATTCTAATACGATGAATATGGACAAAAAAGAGGCAAAAGAAAGATATAACATCCAAGCTTAGGATGTTATATCTTTGGGATGAGTGGGAATGATATATTGTTTATGTTTCAAAATGTTAATCGTCAACTGTTTTCTACTCACCTACAGAATGTCATCACTCGATTCGATATGGGTCTTTTATCTCTTCTACCATTCTTAAGCTGTCTTCTCATCAATGATTGATACTGGTATCTATTTTTTAAATGGTAGAAAATCTCACCATGATACATTGTAAAATAGAAAATACGTTATAGAGTACAGAAAAGGATATTTTAGGAATGCGTAGATGGTTTCGGAGACCAATTTATATTTTCTTCAAACTAAAATGTTGATATTCCAGTTTCAATTTTCAGCTGGAAATATAAGTGAATTTCTTCTTTTTAGAAAATCCAGGATTTTCTGAATATTCGAAATTCAATGAATGAATAATAAAACTTTCAATACGCTTTAAATTATTTAAAGTCGATTTTTTGACAAATAGAATTTAAAAAAAAGTTACAGTGTATAAATCATAGAAAAGCACTTGATGAGACAATGAGAAAAAAATTACTGTTTTACTGTTCTATGAAAATAAGAGTCTCGGATATAAGATAATCTGCAAGATTTTTCCATATACTGGCGAATAGCCTGGTCATACGTATATTCAGTAATGGGCTGTTTGATTCTTTTGCTCTTATGCTGTCATCGTTAGATATAATCAAATAGAAAAAAATCTCCCATTATGGAAACAAGCAATATATGATACTTTTTTCATTCTTACGCTTTCATGTTTGCATTGGCAGAGCTAGAGAAGAAGAAGACTAATGCAACATTGAGAAAATACAATCAGGAACTCAAGATATTCATAGGATGGAATAATGAATTACATATGTTAGATGGTAAGCGTTGAAAAAGTGAAAAGATTCAAGAACAACTCATGTTTCCTTTTCATATTACATGTTCGCATGATCGATAAAACAAATCATTCTTTATTAATGTATGGTAGAGTAGAGCACGTGAAGTCACTCAAGATAAATACTAACAAAATGTTTCAAGAATTATTTTTCGAAGAAAGAATAGTAGGAGGCATTTTTTTTTCCTTCAAGAAAGACAATTAAAAAGGTCCATGGATAAAACTATCCGAAATCAAGCAAAACGACGGTTCATTTTCGCATACTCAGGACCACACTTGGTGTCCATTTTCGTACCCAAAACTATCATGATTTGCAACAATATCCACCCAGAAAGACATTCGGAAAAAATGAATACGAGAAACTCTTGTATTGATCGTGTAATTGAATTCATAAAATAATTTTACTTTAATACATAACACTCTGAAACATCGAAATATGTTTTCGCTTGTATTTATATGAAAAATACTTTGAATATACAGAAGCGAAAGAAAGAAACAAATTCATACTCAAACTCAAATGATTTGGTGAGTTTCGATGGTAGACCAATTTCTGAAACGAAAACTATTAAACAAAATCTAAATCCAACTCCGGAATGACTTGACTTTGGTAAATTTCTAATTAGTATCGAAAGTATTGATAGATATCGATATTGAAGTACTGAACTTAACTAACGTCATTTATACTTTTATCTATTTATTCTAATACGATGAATATGGATAAAAAGAGGCAAAAGAAAGAAATAACGTCCAAACTTACTTCTGTTAATGACGTTAAAGCATTTTGATATGTATATGCGGATATATATGGCGTGGGAACAATATATTGTTTATGTTTCAAACGGTTAGTGATAAACCGTTCTCTACTAGTATAAAGAACAACATCAGTCGATTCGATATGGGTTTGTTTTCATCTTCTCCCATTAGCTGGGATTTTCTTCATTTCAGTCATTACATATTTTCGATGTGCTTGAAGAAGACGTTCCTCTCACTTCCCAGACCATGCTGTACTGTATGGATTTATGGGTGGGATTTATCTCACTTCCCGGACTGCGCCATGTTTCCCCGAAGCGTTGTAAGACGTGGAATAAGGGATTGGGATTTATCTCACTTCCCGGACTACGCCATGTTTCCCAGACCTCGTAGGACATATTGCAATTTGGAACTTATGGTACTTCTTTCAAATGTATCTGTAGCCGTGAAGGCGAGAGTGTGTTTACCAAAAACCTTCTAGGTGAGGGTTTAGAAAATTGTTCACACAAAATGTCTAATGTATAAAGTTTTTGATGATCATTGTATGACGTTTGTTTGCATTTTGCTTGGTGGTACGTAAAGCGGTAATTTTGTATGATCAGTTTGTACGTATAGTTTGTGTATAGGTAGGTGATCTTTAAAAAGAGAGTAGAAAGAGCGCACAGTATCGTTTTTCAATTGTAAAAAGATTTTGAACAAAATACTGGATACGTATTTTAATTTGTAGCCTTATGGTGCTCATTTTTGCCTTGTAAATGAACTTTTGACTTATTATTTACGTATTTGCTTCGTTCTAAAGGTGCACATAATACATTCTTGGATGGCTTTTTCCGAATCAGCATCTGCGTTAGATTTTCAGATAAGCGGGTGGCAAAAATTGGATGTATATCCCCTAACGGGGTGTCTTCAAAGGCTTCAGTCCACATTTGATGAAATTTGGAGCCAAATTTTCAACAGTTCATGATTTTTATTCTTCTTCAAAACAATTACCAATTCCAAAACAATTAAAATTACATGTTACACAAGCATATACAGAATTTTGTGCTTTAGATATTCGAACATTCAATGTGATGATAGGCGATGGTTTTCAGAATCTGGCAAAAGTTTTATTTGATGCAGGTCGTTCAATGTATAAGTCGTCAATTGAAATAAAAGATCTTCTTGCGCATCTGACCACAGTTAGAATAATAAAGTATTGTAGCAGATCGATCATTTTATTCAATGTCATTTTTTTAGATTAGTCGGAATGTTAGTCGACTTTATGAAGAATTAGTAAATCATCAGAAAGAAAAGTAAATTCTATATTAATGAAAGCTAAACAATTTTGGGTTGTTTACTAATTCATTTCGTTATATTTCATTCTCAGTACGAGAATGATCAAGACGTCGCTAAACTATGCAAAAAATTTCGGAGTTTTTCGGAGTCGGAGTTGGAGTCAAAAATGTTGACTGTGCAGTTCACTACTTGCTAGAAGTTTAAATTCCATTAAAATGCCTATAATTCTGAACAGAACGTCTAACCGCTCTTATCCTTTTGGGGTTTTCCATATGTCACTGGGGTCTACCTTATGCACAGAGTCTGATCTTAAAAGCTATTGAACAGTTGGGGACCTTCCCTCGTAAGTTTCAAACGGAACGAATCGATTCTAGACAATGGCTAAGGGCGTTTCGAATATTTTGAAGTAATCCAAGGAAGAAAAAGCAGACCTTCGCATTCCAAGTTACTTTAAAGCACTTCAAGCGAATTTGAGTTACAGAGATTTTCATACATTGATTGTTCCTCGGTTACTTACTCAGGTCTCATGGATCTTATATTAATCTATCTCACTGAAAGATCATTTAAAGTTTTTGAAAATGAAATTTTTCGATTACTTCTTCACACTATCGTCTTTCGATTAGAGACATATGGCATCGACACAACTATTGCTATCGTATCTATGCTGAGAGTTTCAGTCATAAAGAATGAGAATTCATACAGAAATCTGAAAATGTTTCTCATGTATAGTTGGGACAAAATTTATTGCATGACTTATTATGTCCCATTTCTGACTTAATTCAAAACTTGATGACATAATTATAGATGTCCGAGATATTCAGACGTGTAAGTAATGCTAAAGCACAGTTAATTACTGTTTCAGAATCGAAATTAAATCAGCAATCGAAGTGGATAAGCTTTGCAATAACCTTTGCTTCAACTATACATTAGAAACATTTTTAGATTTCTCTATGAATTCTCGTTCTTTATCATTGAAAGTCTTAGCACAGATACACTAACAGTAGTTGCATCTGTGACACATATCTCAGGTCAAAAGATGAAAGTATGAATGGTAATCGAAAAATTTCATTTTCAAAACCTTAAAATGATCTTTTCGAAATTATCCAGTATTTTACTACAAAACATTGTTCTATACAAAAACTGATCATTACGACAACATGTACAGTCCCAGTAAGATAAGTTAATAAGACCTGAGTAAGCAACCGAGAAAGAATCAATGTATGGAAGTCGTTTCAAAAATAAACTGAATGACTTGCAATTTGTAACGAACTAGAGAATTAGTATTGTTGCTATTCTTGACAATGATTTTTATTGAAATACTTCATCGCTCTAGAGGTATCTATGTTCTTACGAACGAATGTTTATATACTGAGCACAAGAGAGAAGAGGAACACACATCGTCGATGTCAATATTACCGAAGAAGTCATAAAGCGAAGAGAAAGAGATGAAGTGAACTATAACGGTTATTTATTATTACGCAATAAACTCGTTCTGAATAAAATACGAACGCAGTGTAGCGATTATCGTCGGTGAAAGTATACTGATCTAGACTAAACTGATTATCAATTGATAGATTTCGGTGATACCTATCATTTGAAGCTAAAATATGTGGACAAAAAGTAGAAAGTTGTATCTAATTGGTAAAACACTTATAAAAGCTTGATATGGAATAGTGTGATTCTGATGTCTTTAATGCAATAGATGCTTTTTTGCACTTTAACATATGAACCAATACTAAACACTAACAGTAGTTGCATCTGTGACACATATCTCAGGTCGAAAGATGATAGTATGAATGGTAATCGAAAAATTTCATTTTCAAAATCTAAATGGAGGAAGAGTATATAAAGTAGAGTATAAGTGGAGGATGATTGTATAAAGAGATATATTAACAGCATATGTTTTTTATTGAAGAAAAAAAAGATTAGATCTAGGTTTGTCGGATGTATATTTTATATTTCATTCACTAAAAATAGAATGAAGAATGATCTATCTGTATAAAAATGTCTGTTCATTTAGTATGCATGAATCAGAAAACAGCATCGATAAGATAAACGGTAACACCTATTTTACTGTTGACATCAATCACAATTTTCAGGAACATATAGTTTATCACTTTTTTCTTCCAAACATCTATCTGTTGAATAAGCATATCAGTGATGACTTGAAATGACCTCTTATCGACTTTCTGTCACTACTTAGGAGTTGACTTATGGTTATGAAAAAGCTCTTAGGGACTAAAAAATTCAATTATTTTACAACCAACGACCAGTTCTCATATCTGGTCTTTCGCTTATGAATTGTTGCGACAGCGTTCTATTTCCACACAGTAATCTACCATATTTGTGCATTACTTACGCAAAGTCTCAACATTCAGAAATATGTCGGAGCTTGAGTCAAATATGAGTGGGCAATAGTGAAATGTCTATAGTCTGACAATGACAAGAAATCAATGCTCGCTCTTCATTGCATGAATATCATCTGCATGTTACACTCGTGCCGATATAGTGGTAAGCCTACAAAACACAGACAATTCTCTTCTCGTATCCATCTTGCAAGTGCGATATTTCTGGGAGAAAGGCGCGAGCGCACGAGTCTTCTTGAGGTTTTTTCATATCTATTGAGGTCTGCCTATCGCCGTAAAATGGGACCTAAACGGCTTAAATACCCGAGGAGGTTCCTTCATAAGCCATGGAGACTTCGATAGTAGTTATACGTTCCATTCATGGCTATATGCTTAGAAAATCACAAATAAGCGAAAAAAAGGAGGAGTACTACTTTCTATCGATGTGTTTCAATGAAGAACAAGTCCGAATATCGTAGGCTTGAAGCGTTGATGGCATTTTGGACACTTTGCTTCTACTAAGTGTCCGATGAACTGAATGGCCGGCGAACAGCGATGACATCGTGGGCATTCGTACGGTAGATTTTTAACACTTTCGGGTAAGTTGCGCAGCATATCCTCTCCCTTCTGGTTACACCTGGCAGTGAACGCCGTAATCTCACTGGGTCGTAAATCACTCAACGTCCAATAAACGTCATAGAATTGCAGGTTCAGCACCTTCTGGTTTCGAACTCGAAAGAAACCGCCATCCGCAAAGTCCGTACCCCAGGAATTCATGAATGTCAAATTAGTATTTGATCAAGACAACGGCATGCCCATCTATCTTCGACTGCGCATTGCGCGCTCCGATGTCTTTACTTTCGAGAACACCTTGCGGCGATTTCCCGTAAAACTCACTGAAATTCGTCCACTGCTTCTTGTCCAAGCAGAACGTGGCGACTACGGGACGTCTGTGATTGATTGCTTGTCTAGCACCAGTTTCATCGACTTTCCTGTGGCGTAAACGGTATTTTGGTGCCCAGATATTCAAGACATCGGTAGTCACTGCTCCTTTTTCGCCGTATGTATTGATCAGTTTTTGACAAATGTCAAAGAAGTCGGGTACTCCATTTTCTCGACCCTCAATTCGTCGCATAGCCAAATGAAGGACAGCTGCCACGGTATGAGCATAGCACGTTCCACCTCGTTGTCGTTTCGGTTCGAAACTTGCATTGGCAGCGTTGATGTACATATCTAAGGAAACACGGCCAATGTTGTTCAGAAGGACGTCGTTCTTTTGCGCTAATTGTCGAACGAGGTCGGAGTATTCGTTCATGATGTCGGGATGATTGCCCTGTACGAACAGACCACTGTGACCGGCTGCTGGAAGTTCCCATTTCTGCTCTAAGAGTACCAACATGCCCGAGTGAGAATTTTCCACCGTGGAACTAAGTTGAAACATCTGATGTTGTGCCTTTGTCAAGCGTACGTCAGGTTCGTAGTATAAACGTCTCGGCTGAGAAAGATTTTCGAATGTCAGTAAACAGCAGAAGACAATGACCTTATTGTCGTGCAAGCGCTTGGCGAATTGTGCAGGATCGCCGTCGGTGGATTCTCCGTCCGAGATTAAAAACAGCACTTTCACTGGATCAGTGCTGGAAGTGAATATCTCAGTCGCATAGGATAACGCTTGACACATCGGAGTATTTCCATAAATGAAAGGATCGATCGAGGCGACGAAACCGGATAATTGCTCGGAAGTGAAAGAGTGCGTTGTTGACAATGTCGCTCCTTTGGCCATTCCATTCAATAGATTGACCGTCGATTCAAACGATTTTATTTGTGGCTTAGCCATAGCTTGTAACGTTGGAAGACAACGCTTGCGAATGACAGATTTTGCATATTCGATCATCTCATCAGCTTCTTTTCTAGAAAAACTCTCTCCGACGTCAGGTGTACCTGTAAAAAAGGATATCCAGTTGGTGGCTTCGAGGCTAGTTTTAGTGAGACCGGCTTTGAGGCCATCTGCAGTGAGCTCGACTTGCGTCTTGCAAACCTTGGGTAATCTTCGGATGATTTCAGACAGCTCGTCGAGATTTTCCGAGAAAAATTTGGCGAAAAACTGTGCTTTACTTGCCTTCAAGTACTTTCGTACGTATTGATCACAGTATGGTGCTCCATGTCCTTTCAATAATTCAATCAGATTGCCATGGCCACAGCTGTTTGGTTGGGTAACATCAAATTTCCGTGCATAATCCAACAGGGCGAGTAAGTCGCATGTCGGCACATTGTTTAATCCAAACGCTCCGACAAATATGTTCTGATGCTTTTCAAATTTGCCTTCACCAGTGATGATATTCATGATGGCATTGAAAATTGATTGAATCCGAGTGATGTTTTCATCTGTCGGCGTCGTATTCAGCTGAAGAACACTCTTCATCGAGCCTGACACATCGACGAGTATCCCAACGAGTATGGTAGTCAAAGTCACCCAGATACTAGCGTAGACACAATGCTCATATAGATGAGTTCCCCTTCACGTTTGATACTATAAATACGAACGAACAGGACAACACGCACTTGGAATAAACCCAATCGTAAGGAGACAGTCACTACGAGGTATATTCTATGATAGAACAGAGCAAAAACCCACATGTGCATACAATTGACGTTATCAGGAAAACGAAGAAATCGAAAGGAACAAAAATAGTCGCTATGAGTAAGAAAGAGATCATTATACAACCTCATTCACCATACCATGGTCTATTTGAATTCAATCTGAATTTTAGATAGAAAAGGACCATCGAATTCCAAATGAAATGCGGGTCTTACGGGTCTTCCTGAATTCTATAGTATATATAGGTATATATAAACCCCTTCTTTTTCTAAAAGCCGCGGGTCTTCGCGGGTGTAGCTGAATTTCAGTATATAAAGGGTGATCAATAAGTTCTGATCCGATCCGTGTTTTGACCATAACTTTTTCTCTTTTCAAACTTTACACATGATTGTTTTACCAAACGATGCGCCGTGAAATTCTCTACAAAACATGTCATCCGAATGAATAAGTGTGCATTTTTTTGTCGTTAAGAAACAGTGTTAACTAATGGACAGCGGTATTGATCACTATCAAAATATTTGATTCTTCAAAGACTTTTTAAACCAGAAACTTTTGCAATTTACCACAAGAGATTGAATTTCTGACGATAGAATCGGTTTCGCAGGACATACATATGGGTATATCGGTTCAAAAACGTTACTTAAACCCCACCCTCACCCTAGTCTATCTGTATAATCAATCCATCAACATGTTTAGACCAGCACAGATGATGGAAATTCGTGGTGTGGAGTACAATATTGTGTTCTGCTATTCAGCTGATTATAAAATGATAGCACAAGTTATGGGTCTTTGCAGGTCCATGCTCAAATTAGTTTTGTGATTTGTGTGACCAAAAAACTACAATTATGGGATATGAGAAAACCGATGATGAAAATGGTTTTGATATTAATGTAACCTCTTACATTGTCGACAAATTACAGAAAGAAAGCTGCAAGAGTGATGTGGATAAAATAAGAAAAAAATAAAAAATGTAAGAAATGATAAGAAGAAAATGAAATAAAAGAAAGAAGAAGAAAATGAAATAAAAGAAAGAAGAAGAACACAAAAAAACGAAAAAGGACGATATAGGGATGAAAATATCAGCTTGTGCTACCAGAGAGTTAAAAAACTTTTTCTCGAAATTTCGCTAACTTAATAGAAGGTAAGGAATGATCAAATAGCATAGAAAAATAGAGCGACACATGTATTATCGCTAGCAGTAAAGATACTAATATCACAAGGGAATCCTGAATTACACTACAGCATATTAATTTAGATATTGAAACATTAAATTATAAATTTCAATTTTCCTTAATCAAAATGAGACCCCTTAAATTCTGCCGGTTGTGCGGAGCTGAAAGGTACGAAATATGGTTGTGCCGCAGCTTTGTGAAAGATAGTACAACTGAAATCTCCTTGTTGGTTAATCAGAGTCAAATCTAAATAATTCACCCGTTTTGATATCTCCCAAGTAATTTTAATGTTTGGATCGGTATCATTAAGTGCTTGTAAATCTTGTGTAATGTTATCGTATGTATCGTTTGATGTGTATATACTATCGTCTAGTTACCTAAAATAGAGTTCGTCTCTATCTGAAATAGAATTCCTAAAATCAAATTCCCAAAAGAAAACATATATATTTGCTGCGATCAGTGTAAGCGGAGAGCCCATGGCACCGCCTCTAATCTGTAAGAAGAATTGACCGTCTAAAGTAAAAAAGTTGTTGAAGAGTACAAACCGACACGGTCTGATAATCGTATCTATCGTTAATTTAGATTTTAATGGTTTATTGTACATAATCATCATCCTTCGGATCCTATTCAAGGTCTCTTCGAGAGGAATCATTGTGTATAGGTCTGTGATGTCGAATGTAATAAAAGATGTACTACTGTTCATTGTGTCCTCAGAATATTGATGAAATTTTGAGACTAATGCGATCGAGTTTTCAATTGCGTAATCTTCTGAGATTTCGTTAAAAATCGGTCTTAGCAATAAGTCTAGGAAACGTGAGGTTTGAACAGTCGGGCCTGTGGTATTAGATAATATCGGTCTGACTGGTATATTCGGTTTGTGATCCTTAAATAAAAAATAAAGATGTGGCAAAAAAGTAGAATCATACTTTGACAGTAATTTGGTATAAACTACGCTTGGAATGTCTTTCGTATAAAATAATCTTTTTAGGAAAGCTCTTGTTTTGTTCATAAAAAGGTTAACCGGATTA